TGCTGCATTAGCAACCATGCCTAGCTACGATTGCTAGGATAACAGTACATATGGCCATAGGAGCCAAGGGCAGATGTTTCTTCAGACCTAGGAGTTTATTTTCCAGCAGAAAGGAACAACCTTCCCACAAGTATGGACCAAACCTGCCCCATTGAGAGATTCCAAATGCAGCAAACAGTCCTCTAAGAAAGCAGTTCTTGAACATTTTGGTCTCAGGAGCCCTTTACATTCCTAAAAATGATTGAGGGCCCCAAATACCTTTGGTTTATGCGGATTATAACCTATCAATATTCACTGCATTAGAAATAAAAACTGAGAAATTTTAAAATATTTATTTATTTAACTTTGCAGGCCCCCCTGAAAGAGTCATGGGGACTCCCAGGGGTTCTCAGACCACACTTTGAGAACCACTGCTATACAGGCAAGATTAAAAAAAAAAAAGTTTTGCCATCAATATCCATATCCGATCATAAGACGAAAGATGCTCAAGATTAACGGTTCATCCAATTCTGCGCTATAAACAAGCAGCAGTTTCGTGAATCAACCGTGCTGGGCAGGATGATCTGCGACAATCTGATATATATTCTAAAACACAGTGAAGCAAGAGCCATTATTAACAATTCTCTAGACAGACTTCTGAGCTTCTGACACAGCTGTTGAAAGCTCTTGCACACCCGCTCTGAAAATATGTAGGGATTAATGGAAGATCCCAAATAAAAAAGAGGCAAGACAAAAGGCTTCCATTCAGATGGCACACTTTGAAATAATGAAGTTATCTTCCCTAAAAAATGAGTGACTTTTCTACTCCAGCAGGACAATGAGGAGAGAGAAATGGAAGCCAAGCTATCTAGGGATTAAAAAAAAAAAAAGGAAAATTTGTCGCATCCAGGCACTTTACCTTCATCGTTATGCTTTCCAGGCACAAGAGTTATGCCCAAGCTTCAAAAACAGGCTGGACAAAGCTACAAATGGGTAAATAAGGCAGATATTCCACAGGTATGCACTATACCCAGCATGGAAATACAGCTGGAAGGCTACTCAAGCTAATTTGCATTTCTTCATTCCAAGAGTCTGTCTTACATTTCATTTGCTCTCTATGACTAATCAGATTTTTTTTCATTAGTCTCCCCTTATTCCTGTTTTGTTTTTTGTTTTTTGTCTGCGCTCAGTCATG